GGGTGCAGTATGGTTTCCAGATTAGTTCATGTATTTGTGAGTTGAGTTTAAGGAGTAGTTTGATTGTGATTTGTGATACTATTTGTGAAGTATTGACAAAAGGTTTGATGGTATCAATTAATGAGTATAGTATCAGTCCTTTAAGAGTAGAGAGTAAAGAGATAGAATTGTGGGTTTTACTACAAAATCCCGAAGGACATATTCCCGAAAGGACCTAATACCAACAAGGTTAGCCGGCATTAGTTATAATGTTGGCCAATTTAGTCGGTATTATGCTCTTTCGGGAAAATAGTTTTCAGGATTTTGTGGTAGAACCAGAATTGTGGGGTTGAGAGAGTAATTGTAATGAGTGGTAGTTTGTTATAAGGTTGTTAAGAGTGTTAAGTTCGTATTTTGAAATTTCTAAGTTGAATGAGTTTAGTAGCTATGTAGTTGATTATTGAATAATTTGGAGGAGAAGAGTTGCATTAAAGCACAATATCTAGTATAGTTCATAGTCTGCTTTATTACAAATAAAGCATTTGTTAGCTATAGTGTTAGGATAAAAAGTATGAAGATGAGTTGGAGTAGGAAGTTTATTATAGAGAAGTTTAACTCTAAATATTTTAAGTTTGCTTAATATAAAGTTAGTAAAATTGTATGATCTTTTGTTGTTGTTGTTGATGTATAGCCATGTTGAGTTCCAGTCAATTTGGTCAGCAACTGGATTCCAAAATTGGTTTCTATTTAGTGATGACTATGTTGCAATAATGTATGCATTGCATATATTTTTAACAAATCTACATGTAGGTTGTTCTACTAGGAAGTTTTGCCATTTGATATAATAGTATGGATTGTAGATGTTAGAGTGGTTGAGTATGAGGTATTGGAGATATTTATGGTTTAGTGCTAGTGAGTCAGCTTTGTTATTAAAAGTATCATTTCTATGTGCTTGGACTTTATTAAGGTTGAGAGTAAAGTTAAATGATTTAATAAGGTTTAGTAGTATATGCCAGATAGGCCAGTTGTTGAAGGAAAGGATATGTGATGAGTTGGAAGGTTTTTGAATTAGCTTTTGATATTTGCTGATGACTGATTAGGAGTCGGTAAATATATTAATTTTGCAGTTACATGGTGCTGTACTAATTGCTAATAGTATAGCTAGGAGTTCTGCTTTGTATGAGGTTAGCCAATAATTTATTTGTGCTGCAAAGGAATATATAATTGAGTTATTGTTTGTTTGTATCTAGCTAATGCCCATGGAGCATTAGTTGGTCATTAAGTTGCATACTGAGCCATCTATATAGAATGTAATTTCTGTATAGTTTGAGTTTGAGATAGTAATTTGATTTAGTTCCTGAGAGATATTATTGTTTTGAAATATCTCAAATATTGGAAAGTCAATTATTAGTATAGAGAGTAGTGGTGGGATATATGTTGGATTTCTATTAGCAATTGCATAGACAAGGTCTAAGTAGTTAGCATTTAGTTTTATTGTTGTTGGA